GACGAAGCATCAACATATATACACAGTGATGCTTTTTACTGTACTTCGAATATGATTTATAGCCTATATAGACACAGAGTTTTATTATATATATATGTTACAGTCAAAACCCGTTTTTAGTTAGAACGCGTTTTAACTAGTTGAAACNTTACGTATTTTGAATAAATTTTTTTAATGGCACTCTCATTATTTTTTCAGAATAACATTTGTATTTTTGAGGAATGCACGTCATTTATATAATAGCCTTATCAGAATCTTTTTTCATACTTTGCCTAAATAGCATTTGTCATTCTATAGAATGCCTAGGTATTATATACAATGCCTAGGGAAAGTATGCAATAATTCTCATATTTCACAGATTGCCTAAAAACGCCAGGCATTATATACAATGCCTAGGTATTCTATAGAATGCCGGATTTTCATACTTTGCCGGTAACATATGCATTGCATAACGGTTACTAATTTTACCCTGGTCAAGAACAGATAGCAACTTCTCTGTAACGAAATCAATTCTACCTTTCTTCTTACTGGAAGACAAAGATTGCAGAGGGAAGAAGGACGACGAGCCAGACATGCTTGGAACTTCACCCTCTTCCACAGAGTCGGAAATTCCTTCTACTCTCATCGAACTTGTGTCCAATACAACTTTTTCCCTACAAATTTTTTCCTTTGTGTGGCAGGAAAAATATCCTATCATTGTCAGCGGGAAACGTAGCGGTTTTGGCTCCTAAACGCACATTTTTTAAGCAGGAACTTGGAAACACTTTCGGTATTCCGAGTTGGCAAGAAGATAGGCCTATTTTCCTCTCAGAGACGATGGTATTTCAGTTTTCCGGGATTAAGTTTCTTCCATCCTTACTTCAATGTTATGTGGTACTATTTCCGTAATTAGAACAACGCGGGTTACCTGACGTAGGACACCAAACATTTCGTCGCTCGGCACCATTTCTTATTGTTCTATTCAGATAAAATGTCGGATACACGACTTTTATGTTACTTGGAACAATTCTGAAGGGCGAGTCCAAAGAAATTCTAAAATTTAATTTCCTCCGTGTTAACAAGGGCCATCCTAATAGCATTATAGCTAAATGGCATTCGTTTCGGACCACGGAAAAGAGTATTATGAAAAGAATTACTTGGAGAAATTATGGCTACGGGTGCCACGAGGAGTGCGCGTCAGTTAGATTTACAAAAACATTGGTAGTCGACCCTTAATCTACTTATTCGAGCGTAGACATCTTTAATTACTAACAATTTTAATGAAAATTGTAATTGTATTTCTTAACTGCAGTACGCGACTGATCTGAGGTTATAACGGATAGGTTATCTATTATAACAAACAATAAAAAAAAAATGTAAGCTTACTCGACCTTTTTAGGCGAAACTAGTAATGATTTTAACCTTGTGTTAACTTTGTAAATTTTCTCGTAAATCGGATGCCGTGCAGAGACGACTTGAGATGACGATTGTTTTGAAAATATAATACCAGGTATTAAATTCTTTACAATAAAACTTAGATTCTTCTTCTCTTTTCTAATGTCACGTTTAATTGGGGATTTAAAATAATTCATTACGTACAAAATATTTAGTTAAGCTTTCAATTTTAAATTTATTTATCTATTCATTCCTCTGCCTCCTCTCGTTACCAAGATAATGCAAATAAAGAGAAAAACTATTCAACAATTTTCAATTAATTTTCTAAAATTGTTACATAAAAGAGATGATTTACAAGTAATAAAAGTGTCTGAAAATTTAAAATTACGTAGAGAATTCGAATTTTTAATCTACTTTAAATAAAATAAAATAATTTATATACAAGTCGACCCCCCTATAACACTATTGATTATTCCGTTTTATATGAATTCCATGTTGTACGAGTCACTTAGATTTTATAAATATGTGTGCAGGGCTCTGAACGGCACACGTATTTGCAAAATCTAAGTGACTCGTACAACATGGAATTCGTAATAAAACGGAATAATCAAGTGTTATAGGGGGTCGACTGTAGTCACAATATGACGATTAAGCGATTAAGCCGGAGTATATTGGCCAACTTTATTCTATTTTGAATTGAATTGAAAATCGAAAGACCGCGAATTTTATTCATTCTAAAAGCATGAATACAAAATAACTGCAAATAAAATGATAGGCCTACACAATTGTATAAGTTATATTGTGAAAATCGAAATTCCTAATATCGATTAATTACGGAAATAGTCTATAAATACAAAATAAATAAATAAACGGATAGACAAACGGACGAACATAAATACCAAGCAATGCCTCGTTTAAAAATAAATTTTAATAAAGTTTAATGCATTTAATGATCTAATAATTTTTCTTCGATTGGCATTTAAAACATAATCCAGGGAGAAAATTTATATTTTTCTTTGTTAAAACTTCAAATATCTTCTAAATAAATAAAAATTTAAGGAATTTATTTACGTAGTAATTACATCCTAATCTTTATTATTAATCGTTAATATATATGTTGTTAAGCGGTACACCTTTAAATATATTTTTATTTGGTTCAGTTTATTTATTCTAGTGTCGTTCTTATCCATTATTCTTCGATACTCATAGAAGAAAAACACTGTACAAATAAATATTTCGAATTTATTTTATTATAATTGTCCAGGGCCGATTATGGCAACGTAGCGTAATTATAATCAATTATAACTGCCGCTCGATTAATTCCGTAATTAGTCTTTAATAAATTATTATAATTATCCTTGAGTGTAATTATATTTATACATTTTATAGTACAAGATAGATGTCTCCAAGTATGTCTAGTCCCATTGCCCGGGGAACGATATTCCTTGGGATAAAACGGATTAAAAATTATAAAATGGAACGTCACTTTTATGCCTTTTTTTAATACCTTAGCGAATTTAATTATATATAAAAAGTAGAAATTTTACATGGTTTATTATGCACTTAATGTGTACGTATACGTACACGTTAAGTTACGTAACGAGCGATACGTACACGTTATACTTCGATGATGTTATGTTATCGGGGTTTTATTGTATTAAAAAATGGAAAACTGATACGATGCGCTCAAAAGTCAGTTAACCACGTTCTGTATATTCCTAGTTCAGACGTCAAGATGAATGGTAGAATGAATTTCTGTATAAAACGACAGAAATTTAATCAGAAAAAAATTTCCATAAAATAGTAAAATATCGCAATTAATTAAGACAATTTAGTCTTTACAGCGGTTAGATGAATTTCGAACCATCCTATAATTACAGAAATTAAAGCACACTTTATATTTTATTGCGACACATTTTTATTTTATGCATTCCAGAAACTATAAAATAAATTATTTAATGTTTGTTCGGTCCAGTTTTGATAAAAATCAAGTACGAGTATGTACTGTAACAGATATGACGTATGTACAGAATAGAGTATGTAGAGGTATGACGTATGTACAGAATTATTAAAATTTTTTTTTTCTAATAATTTTGCTCGTTATTCTATCGAAAAGGCGAAGTAAACACCGAACCTCTAACGACAATTATTATATTTATATTTTAGTATTTTCAGCCGGTTAAATTGGATTTTATAATCGTACGAAAGAGAAATAATTAGAGGACGATACGAATTATACAATCTTCTTTCGTATGAATTAAAATCACATACAAGTATTTTATATAGGTTTATGTATAATTATTAATCATTTTATAAATAAATAAGTTATTTTATTAATTTATAAAGGTCCCCTATTTTATCCTACGACACATTTTGAAATATTCTTTCGTTAATCGTTTCTTGCTTCGATTCTATTTTAATCCATAATATTTTCATTTAAAGCGTTATTATTACTTCGGCATTCTCCTCCATTATTCGGCTCGGCACTTTTTTAAAAATGTACTGTATACGTCACACCCAATAAAATGTACGTCACACTTTATCGGACGGAGTAATTGGCTTTCGTTACACTCTTATTTTCCGCCGATTTTTCTAATTTCGTTCTCTTCCCATCCTTTATTTTCCACTGCAACTTTACACTTTATGTCGTTTTCTCGTTCAAAATAATTCTCAACCGCCGTCATTCCCGCCATTTATCCGTCATCGATCGATATGATTTGAGCCCGGTTCTAATTATTTTTCTGTCTTTCCCCTTCCATACTTTAGGAAGAGAAAGAGTCAAACCAGTCGAAAACATTAAATTTAATCATTTAAAATGTTTTAGCATTTTATCTCCGAAAATCGATATTTTAAATTAATTTTACGCCTTTATTAAAATCCACACTCGTTTAACTTCGTTTGGATTTAATCCGGCAATTCGTAATCATATTAAATCTATCGCTATCCAAGGAATTAAGGTACGTGTACTTTTATATATAAAGTAATTATATACATGATTGTGCATTAATTTATTACACGTACATAGACTCTAATATATTAATGAAGAACTCGAAAAACTAGAATAATTGCAAAAAGAAATGTGTAGAAAACAAAAAGCAAATTTAAATTTAAAAGTGACAAAAAAAAAAAGTTGTAATATTCTCCTCCGGAAAAAAACAAAACGAATATTTCTAGCTGTATTGGGTCAAAAAAGGGTCAGACAAAACGTGAAATTAATTAAATGCCTTTATATAATTCTTTATTTATTAACCAGGGCAATATACAAAAATAAACTTAAATATATAAAAATACAGTAGGTTATATTTGCATGTTAATTTATTCTTTAAAATTACACCGGAGTAACTTACAAAAAGTATATAGGATATATTAAGGACCGAAATATTGGTTAGTAAATTTCGAATATAATTTAAAGAAAAGCTTTTAAAATGCTAAATACAAGTTAATTTAATTGGATAAATTTGGTAAAAAAGCGTGCGAAATGTCGGAGGAAAGAACGGCATCGGCCGACCGAAGTCGAGTGGCGGATAATACGGTTTGTTGTTCTCACAACGAAGCATTTTAAACCAACGGCCCGTCTCTTTAAACCATATTTTGGATAGTCGGCAGACCGGGTCGAAGGAGCCAACGTGTGTTAGGAGTAAATGGACAGGGGAGGGAGAAGGCAGGCCGTGGGGAAGAGAAAGAGAGGAATGCCGAAAGCGAAATTGGAGAAGAGTCGTCCTTGGCGTTACATAATTAGATCGACGGGCGAACGGGATCGCCAGTCGGAGTGCACGAGCCATGGCGGAGGTACGTCTGATGACGGAGGAAGACATCCCGGCGGCCCTTTCCGTTTGGAGAGAAGTTGGACTGTCGGAAGGCAGCCAGTCCCTCTACACTTTCCGCAGCTTCGACCCCCGAGGATTCTACGTCGCCCTCCTCGACGACGGTAAACTCATTTCTACTTACTCTCTTCTAACTACCGTCTTACTCTCGGTCTCTTTCGCTTACCGTCCTACTTAGGTCGCCCGCTAAAAACTCTGCTGCATATTTTTTAATGCAAACCCCGCGTTATTGATTGATTGGGCGTTTTCGCAATCCCACAATTCTGCGCACAAAATCCGTTATTCCGCATTTTTATTTTGTAGGTCGATAAGTTTTTCTGCGATTTTACTACTACTGTTCCGCCTTTGTCCTTTCCCTTTAGGTCAAGTAAAATAACTGATAGAAAAAGAACAGAAAAGTCTGTTACGATCCACCGGTGGGAATATTCCGACTGGTAAATAGGGAGTTAATTTAATTTAAAAAATATTTAAAAAGTATACAGAACGGATGCGTAAAGGGCAAAACGAAGCTTTGCAGCATTATTAAATATACAACTGTAGACTGTTGTAACTGGTGGGATGGGTACAGTACACGTGATATTTAGCCTGGACGGTCCCGGGGAAAGCTAACGAGAGCCGACAGCTGTCGGATGAAACGAAGCAGGACGCGCATCTGCCTCCGTTCATTTCGATAATCAAATAAAACAGGAAACGGGAACTCTTTTAAATCTAATTACTTCTTTATTGACGTTTCCCTTCTCTAGCCCATATCATTTCAAATTTTATTTCATCCTAATTTTCTAAACCGATTTTTAAATTTTTTTTTTGGCTAATCTACTATACCAGAAGAATTATTTCTCTGGTAAATTAAAAATTCCCTAGAATGTACCATTAAAAATTACCGGATTGGTGTATTTCCATGGGTACCGCGACCGACGGCGATTAACTTCAAATTTAAGATAAATACAGTAGAACCTCCATTATCCGGATTTTCGATTATCCGGATTGTTCAAAATAAACAAAAATTTTACGAATTTGCTGATTTGCACTTGGCGAATTACGACACTGTTTATGTACAGTACGTGATGGAATGCGTAACTTTTTTGTTTCAACAACGTCTCACTCAGCACAGTGGTCGTAAACTCTTAAATATATTTTACGTAGTAATAAAAATATAACTTGACATACGTATTTATAAATAATTTATATTCAAATTACATCATTTCTATGACCAAGGGCGGCGTAAGGCATGGACGACGTGGGCCACCGCCTATGCCTCGCGGTCCGAAGGGCCTCGCGCCTCGAAGGTTTATGCATTACTTAAAAGCCGCGAACGCGACGAAAAAATTTTACTCGTCATAAAACGATAAATAGTTTGTCAAATTTTTATTCATAAAAATGCAGTTTCAACTGCTTTTTATTTTATAAAATCCGTCTTCTCGCGCCACCAGAGGCCTTTTAAACAATAGGTAGTCTGTTAACGTTGGTCAGTAGTAGTCCAAATTGAATACGAACGTTTGTTTCTTGAAAATTTGATCACGATTTAAATACAGTATTTATTTTTAATATTACCGATATGTCATCGAAAAGAAAACGTGTTGTATTATCATTAAAAGACAAATTAAAGTATCTGTTTCGATTATCCGGATTTTTTCTTATCCGGACTACCTTCATCCCCAACCAGTCCGGATAATCGAGGTTCTACTGTAATTGCTTACATTAATTTAAATAAATCAATTAAAATTTGATGATTAACTGCTGATATTTAACGTTTTTGCTTCGTTTTCTCTCATTATAATGCTTAAATATTGTAGAAAACGTTTACCAGAATCTTACTTTATTTAAGGATTTATTATATCGTGAAGTGCGCGCAAAAAACTAGAGGACGACAGTCATTATTCATATTTTTACGGCATTTCGAACTACCATTCCTCTTCGGCAGAAGGTTACAAAAACTTTTCCTAAAACTTTAAAAATTATTTTACCACTAAATTACAATAAGTGCGTGTTTCTTAATATAACAAGTCCTTAAATAAACTAGGGTTCTGGTAAACGTTTTCTACAATACAACAAACGACAAGAGCATTAATCATAATAATGTTTAGACTTATACAAACGATTATTTGTTTAAATTTATAGGATATATAAATTAAAATATAACTTAGATTAGTCATAAATTTCACCAATTGATTAAGCTTAATATATTAATAAACAGCGAAAAAGAAACACACAAAATCATTTAAGCCTCGCATGCCACAAATATTTTCTTATTTGTTCTTTCCCTCTTCATTTTTCTCTCTCCTTTTTCCTTGGCTTTTCTTTTTTCTTCCTGCCATTTTTTAAACTCTAACGGCGTATAACGTGGATAATTTTATTTCTCCGAGTCTTCCCCGGGTAGATTTTTTACCTCGTAGTATATTTATTTTGGATTGAGCCTGGGAATTTGTACATATTCGAAACTGACAATAAAATAAAATCCAGTATTTTATGCATTGCAAGATGGGAGATGTCTTCACTATGGAGATAAATCGTGGTTTTTCTATTTAAGGAATAATTCGTAGTTGATCCGTAAGGTGCGAAACCGCGTTATAAAAATATTATCGTGGTTATTAGCGCAGTGTACCGACGACACGGATGTAATAATTGTTTTCCCTACGAGATATCGATTTTGTTTATCCGTCGATTGGTTTATCGTAAGAATTTCTGGTAACACCGACGATTTGAACGGTTTTTGGATTTGGACAGACCCCAAGGAAAGGAAAGGAAGAGAACATTAGGAAAACTTTGGGATTAACCATTCGAATATTTACGCTTGCCATAAAAGTATAAAGGAAAATATCGTCGGTGTAGAATTTTAACCACGACAAATTCGTAATTTAAGTTAAAACGTGATAATTAGGATCGAGAGCTCAAATTTATTCTTAATAGGATTTAGCTTGGATAAATTCCTTTGCAAATTTTAATTATTTATCAAACGTCGAATCGTTTAAATGTAAGATTAGTCGATTACCCGGGAAGATCGGGTTTTACGTTAACGACAAATTACTCTTCCGGTTTACTCCCCATGCAAATTAAAACCGCGGTTCACGAGCTAAAGCTATTTGTTTTCCAACCGTTTGAATTATAATAATTAATCGAGTGGTATTTCGACCGACCAGACAAAATTCTCTTTGGAAACGGAAGAAAATACGGTCGGGTCGTCCGATTTTAGTGGCGATTTAAGCCCAGTCGGATCCACCCACCGATGGCATTTTTCTCCCATGTTTCACAAATTACGGTGTTTTTAAATGTCGATTTTACTCGAAATTTAATTTAAAATTAATGCGACTTTTTATTCAAATTAAGTGAATAATTAGCCTAATTATCATAACGGGTTTTGGGAATCTTTATAGGCCTACTGTTTTGCGTAATGAATAAAGTAAATCTTAAAATAGGTTAAACAAAATTCGAGTCGGTACGAATGGATGCAGTTACGAAATGTAAATGCTTTATTTTATGGGAAAAACTATCGAACGTTAAGTAAAGTATTCTCCGGTATAACAGAGATCTATTTTAAAAAATACGAATAAAACAAGAATAGCAATAGTGAAATGGGAAAGCGATATTTCCTTCTTTTGTAAACGTATTATAACTCGAGAAATATCAATTTGTGAGGAAATTGTAGATTTTCGTTGCTGATTAGTACGAGGAGAGGACTCGGAGCGTTATCGATGGCTTAATTACGATTCTTTGTGCGGAATAAGTATAAGTTTTTTAAGTAATCCGACCAGAAGCGAATAATAATTAAATGTTTCTCGCAGGTGAAGTGGTGGGCACGTGTGCGGCGGTCGTCAATAACCCCGATCTGGCCTGCGTGGGTCTGTACGCGGTCAAACCCGCTCACCAAGGGAAAAAAATAGGTAGCAAAGTTTGGAAGAGGGCCATGGAGCACGTAGCCGACATCAACCTTTTCCTGAACTCGGTGCCCGAACACCTGGAGACTTACAGGGACAAAGCGGGATTCGTTCACGCATCCCCGCATCGAACCGTCGTCTGCGAAACGTCGCGGGTGGAGGTAGAGCAGCTAACCACCCAGGTGGACGGGGTGGAAGTCAGAGCCGTGGATGACGACTACGAGGAGGCGGTGGTCGACTACGACCAATGGGTGGCGGGTTACGATCGACGGGTTCTAGTGCGAACCCTGGTGAGGGAATCGGACTCCGTGGCCCTGGTGGCCCTGAGGGGCCGAGAGGTGGGCGGTTACGGTTGCCTGAAGGCCGACATCGGGGGACTAACCATGGTGGGCCCCCTGTATGCCGACGGTCCGGAAATAGCCGAACTTCTGTTACGCCGAATGGTGGAGAAGTTTCCGGCCGCCGGGGAAAAAGGATTGATAATGATGGCCATAGACGCCAATCCCGCCTCCCTGCGACTGGCCGACAAATTGCAACTGAAGCGCAAATTCGTCTTGCCCAGAATATATACTAAACGCGTAGTGGAAGCCCGCGACTACGGTAAAGTGTACGGCCAATGCAATATCAATTTCTGCATGGTTTAAAGTGGGAGAGACGAACGGAGCGGGCTCCGCCCTCCGCCGTTTTGTTTCCACGGCGGGCGGTTCTCTTTAAACGCTGACCTCTAAAAAGAAAAGGTGGAGGCGGATGGGCGCCTACAAACCATCCAAAATGGATACACCGGACTCCGCCCACCCGCGTGACCGGGTTCACAGCACTCCAATAGATAGCGCGCACGTAACCGTAACTTTTGTTAAGTAGAACCTAAGGTGTACTTGGAGACGCCATTACGAAATGTACCCTACGAAATCTCCGTGTATTTAAAAAAGCAATAAAGTTAATTGTGAACGAAGCAAAGACGCCTGGTTAAATACTTTAATCTTATTTTTTTCTAGAAATTCTCCCGGATTTTTCGTGGCGGTAAGTAAAGTCGGAAGGTTCGAGACAGAAGTCCGTCCAAAAACGAAATCTTTACGAAATTTCCGGTAACGGGCCCGACGAGACTGATGAACGGTCGATTGGGCCGAAGGGGTGGGTTCTCTGCCCCACGGGGAGGAAAAGCAGTCAAAGCTCTCCCTCACCGGAAAGGACGGATGGGGGATGTCGGCTCCTCCCGACCGATGGCCAGAAATACGGATTTATCCCTTGGCACCAGAGACCAAATTTGCTAAATGGACTCCGCGTGTATTTAGCCGGAAACGGGACCGGGCTTCTTTCCTGGCGGGGAGAAAATACCAACGACAGAAACGGACGAGAGGCGGGGAAACTTCTCCACCGTGGCGCCGGGCACCGTGGGTACAAGTAGGACCGCCACGGCGCCGCGGTGGAAGAGAGAAGCGAAAGTACGTGTGGGGCGAGCTGAAAGAGAGTGGAGGGAAATGTAGACGGTTTACGCCGGCGCGCGTAAGAAGCGGAGGACGGATTCTCCGCGGGGCTTTTACTTTCCATCGTTTTGCGCGCGTAACGAGGGAAAGAACGGAACGGCGTCACTTCCGGCCTCCGACTTTCTCGCCCGTCTCTGCGCGTTCGGACCTCTGCAACCGGAAAAGGTATCCGGAGAGAGACCGGACTGGACCGAGAAGTTCTTCGCGATTGGGCTGTAATTTGAAAAAGACTGTAGAGTTATAAATTCCCACCGCCCGTCCGTCCTTCCTTAATCTCCAGAACGGATTCAGATAGAGGAAAATCGAGACCGGATACGAAAAGGTTAGGAGCGGGAGGGCCCGATTGACTACATAAGAACGTCCCATGCCAACAGAAAGTCACGTTATTTCCATTCAAAAATTTCTCCCGAAAGGGAATTATCAATAGATAGACGACCGGCACGATTACGTTGCTAACGGGAGAAGTACGACGTACGGGGTGAGTCACTACTAATTTGAGGTGGAGAGCGTATATTTTAAATTAAAACGATTAAAAATTGCATCCCGGCACGGAGACCGTGACATAATAAGTAATTGCCAGCTAGCATTTACAATATTCTTTTTATAAAAGTCGTCTTTCCTTTCGGTCATAGAGGAGTTTATTACTATTCGCTCCAAAGAGAAGAGAGACAGGAGATAGATCGCAAGGCAACGGAAGAGCTGGCCTTATAGAGGACGGCTAGAAGATACACGATAAAATGCCTTCCTAAAGGACTATGGGGAGATGGACCCTTTTTAGGCGTCATCTACAAGGAGAAAACCCTGAAAACTCCAAGCTGCCAGCCTGTCCAATCGAGGCGCGAACTCACAACCAAACTCCTAGTGTTTAGGATCTTGTCACCGCCGCTATGAGCGGAGACGGAGTCCACTCGACCGGTACTAACGACAGATAATTCGTAAATACGCGGGTGTCGGATAAGACCGCAGGTTGACCAACCTCCACACTTTGTTTTTCATTCTTTACAGGTTGCAAATTCTTGTTTCAAATCCTTTACGAAATATTTCCAAACAATGAGAATGTCAGAATCATTGTTTGAATGGGTTATCAACAAAATAAATTATAAATAATAACATAATATTATATAGGCCTATGTTATATGTGTGTGTGTGAATAATGTGTGATTACAGGAAAATCCTAGAGTTACGAATCACAACTCACAAATTGGCAATATAAAGGAAGTCTGACACGTGCACAATTAAAGACAAACGGGCTGTCGTTTATTGGCTATAAAAAGGCTAAATAAATGATTACATATGTATTAATTTGTTTAGAAAAACTGGACCAGCGATAGACGAAGTTATTACGGAATGTTCTCTGTTTCCAGACAGAAACAAGGCTTTTCGAATCTTGTGGTTCATGGCGGCGTTTCACTGGGAAGGCCACCGACTTCATGTCTTTTCCGGCCACGGAGCAGCCAGCCGATCAACCATGGGATAGGCCGTTAGTCTAGGTGCTTTTGCAAATATGGTCGTGTAATTTCTCCTCCACTAACTCCACAAATAACGGCTCCTTACAGTTTGTTTGTTAAGAGACCACGTTACAATCCTCCAAAAGGTCGTACAGTAGCTTTGTCCAGAGTAAGCGCTTTTCTTCCCGCGCCATCTATAATTTCCAAAGTTTTACAATTTGGCGGGTTAAAAATCCCTACCGCCTCGGGCGGGCGGACCACCAGAAGGCGCGCCGTTCAACCCACGGAACGGTTTGCCCCCCGGGAGGGAAGAGACCGGCAGATACTTTTCATCCAATTTCGGTCGAAACCCGTCCAATTTGCGAAATACTTCTTCCAGTGCGTGTCCGAACNAGCTTTTTTTGGAGCTCCTTGCACAGACATTGTTGGACTTACAGATATGACTTCTGCCAAATCAATATAACCCTTACAATGAGAGTCTTCCATGGCATCGTAATACCGCAACTATGTAAATATATAAAACCAAATCTTAAAATTTCTATTTAAATTTTTATTATATTTTATTGATTTATCTTGAATACCTCCCATATAATTTTAGATAATTCTAAATTACAAGAAATTAATTTTTAAAACAACTTCTTGAGAGACTGATCAAACAATAATATTTATATCAATACAATAAAAATTTAAAGCTTTTTTTTTATGAAGTTCTATAAATAGAACTGTGAACAAAATAATTTACAATAAATAAATGGTAATTTTATTGTATATTATGTCTCTTGTACTAGAGAATAACCATCAGATTAAGTCTATCTTCAATTATACCTTAAAACATATCTCCATTAAAACAATGACTGCTGCATTCCTTGGAAGAACATAATGATAAATAATATGATAGTTGAGAAATTCTATTATATAGTTTAATATTTACTTGAAGATATTTAATATAAATTTTCTTAAAGTTTATTGATTTTCAAAATAAGTTTTTTTTTAATTTTCTAAAAGATCATTATCATTGAGCTATCTCCAAATCAGTAACAAAAATGCAACTGTGAACACGAAAAATCTACTTATATAAGCCATTGTTCCCACTGTTTTTATATCTGTCACAGAATGTCCCCTAGCGATGATTTTCAGCTATTATTTAAATTAATAGTATAATTTATTTATTAACAGTATATATTATTATATAGACTATTGTTAATAAATAAATAAATAAATAACAGTATATATTATTATTATTGTAATAGGAATTTATTATTTATACCACAGAATGACACCGCTGCTGCTAGAACGCCCACTAGGGGGCGTCCCGAGCTACTAGTTATCAAATACAGTAATAAAAGAATTTTCGGGACAGAGACGACTTTTATTCCCACCAGTCTGTACAGTACAAGCGTACTCGGTCATTCGGCCACGAATGACCGAGCGGTCAGAGTGTTAGCCTACCGCTCTGGGAGACCCGGAATCGAATCCGGACTGGTCGAATAATGCCCAGGAATTTTTCGGGGAATGGTCCGTCCGGATATGTCGGGCCCGTCCCTCACCATCCGGCCGCCCCATTGTGGACATGGCCGAACCCATAATGGGCTTTCAAAATGAGGCCCTCTTAATGCCCACAGAGCGGAAAGAGTTTTAAAAAAGTACTAAGCGCACAGCCGAGGAAACTGGAGCAACTAGTAGCCAGCCACCGTCCTCTCGACAAACCTTAACGTAGCCTTTTATTAAGAAACGGGTGAAGTAATAGTAACAAAACTTACGACTTTAGATGGCATCTCTGTCGATTCTATTACAAAAAAGCGAGTTCATCAAAAAATCATTGACAGACGGAAAATACACGTTACCGAAAAATCCGTCACGTATAACGGATCCCGTCCAATTCGCATTATGAAGAAATAAAAGAAGGAATATGTTTCGAAATTGGTAGCTAAACAAATGCAGGATCGAAGTTTAGTTTATCCTTGGATCAATACACTTCACCAAACAATCGCCGATATTTAAATATAAACATATACAAAAGTGACGGAACAATTTGGAACTTAGGAATGGGAAAGATTTCTAATGTTCTATCTGCAGAAACTGCAGTCCAAGTAATCAAATAAAAGAAAGAAATTTCACGTGTCTTTAGAAAAAGTACGCTGTGGCTTGTGTTACTGGTGGTGCGGCTGTAATGGTGAAATTTGGAAGACTAATGAATGTGAGCATCAATTATATTATGCACACGGAATTCACTTAGCGGTGTGTGATGTTTTGTACCAAAACCCAAGCACTTCACTAGCAGTCTCTTTTTTTTGAAAAAATTCAAACTGAAGATGCCCTTGCAAGACAACAGAAGGAAGATGAAGAAGACTGTCATTATAGTATTGATCTTGAAAGTGTTTTGTGTGTGCATTTTGCCGACGGTTCTTTCGATATAGATATTTCATTTCAATTGCACGACACTCTAGCTAAAGAAATCGTCTCTTTTGAAATCATCAATAAGGTTAGAAACATTGCAAAATTCTTTCACAAATCACCTTTAAAGAATAGCATCTTACAACAATACGTTCAACAGGAACATGCAAAAATTTGCACTTATTTCTGGATTCCAAAACCCGATGGAATGGCTTTTTAGCCACGCTGGAGCGATTTATTAAAATAAGATTATCTATATCGAAAGCAATCGTTGACTATAATAAAGATACAGACAATTTTGACCTGGACAAACAAGAAATTTCTGTAATTCGTGACGTCGTGGCATCGCTGCAGCCATTAAAAGCTGGAGAGCAACAGAGAACCGATTTTACTTTCTCGGAAGATATTTATTTCTTTTATTGTAAATGAGTTAAATCAACTAAACACACCTTTCTCAAAGATTAAGCAGTCGTTTATTCGAAGCATAGTAGAGAGAAGAAATGAGAAACTGACTGACCTCAAACAACATCTCAATAGTGGAAAGAATTATGAAAAAGTTTCAACTTTCGCAAGTGACAGAAGTTTTCCTGCCTTACCGACCAAGTCTATGTTGATTTTGTCTGCAA